CTGAAAGGGTTAATGAATATTATGACTAACGTGAGAATTAAAAATATGCCTAACATAGACACATCTATTTAGTTTTTTAAATTAATTTAGGCCATATCATCTTAAAAAACTGTATTGTAAGTTTAGCTTCCATATTTTTTGTAGATGCCAGCGATACCAACAATCCTCACCGCTACATCAGTCTGACACTGTTTATCAGTATCTCTAGAATTTATAGATTGGGAATATTTCTATACCTTCAAAATCATTAGGGTCAACCTACAAAATAAAAAAAATTATTCATATAAAATTGTACCACGGCCAAGACCTTGTCCTTGTTCAAATAAAACATATACTAACATTGTCATACTTATGAAATATTTTCTAGTAAGTACAATGATCTTTCTTGGCTGGCAACTGCAATATAAGATCTGTTTAAAGTTAGGTATTGTATATAATTGCCACAAGAGGCCATTTCTAGATAGACCCCAGTCATCGCTTAAATCGGATGGTTTTTCTCCAAAGGAGTACCGTTATAAATAAAGTTGCTACAGTTTACACCTCACGCTAGGATATAATTGAATTTTGTATCTGTGCAGATCTCTTCTGATGACATTTTATCCATTGACGCAGTTAATATTGCGAAAATTAGTATGTAGTACGTTAGTATTAGCATTTGAAAGAATCGTGGCGACTGGGGTGGAAGACACAGAGCCTCTAAGGCCGACCCTGAACCGAACCCAGACTGGGCGTTTCCGGTTTTAATACAAATAGATAACCGCTCTATTTCCGATCAAATTTTTTTATAATCTCCCCATCTGCCGCACCGTTTTTATCCGATTACTTTTGCATTGCCAATATCGATTGATTTTTTAATATAATATTGGATACACTATACACTCTGAAAAATACAACGGGCCGGTATGGTGTATACGTTTTTTTTTCTCATTTTTTTGGGTTTTTTTGTTTGTTTTTCCGAGAACGCCGGTCCGGGAGATATTATTGCTTTTATACTGACAAGCCGAAAAACAAAAAAAAAATGAAAAGCAGAAATTGTGACTACAAAGTAGAATGTAAAAATAATTTTCGATAACTGGAATATTAAAAAAGTATGTGTGCCTTTTTTTCGTAGTTTTTTTGCGTGAACCTAATATGAAATTTTTAGATTACGGTTTGTGCAATTTTTTCGATTGAGCATTTCCTTTTTTTTTGTGTCCGAAATTACAAATACGCAAATTATTTTGAACATTGCTATTATATAATAGTATAATAGTAGAAACATATAATGATGTTCTGCTATTATTTATTATATTAGTCATTTTACATTAAATGCCTTTCACCTTGTTCAAATCGATTTAATAGTAACGAAGTTAGATCCAGTGTCCTTTTCGCAATGTCTGTCTTGTTATTTGTCACGTCATATGTGACTGTCAAACGTGCCCAACGAAAAACTGTTCCCATTATTATTTTGCTCATATTTTGTTTACATTGTATGTTTTGTCAATTCTTCACCTGTCAACGTTAACTATCAAATACGTCATTTGTCAACTCTCCCAGTGATACCAATTTCCCCAATAGATTCTATTGTCATTGTCACTAGTGATACTAATTCCCCCATACCATGAATTCCTTATTTTGTTATCGTAGGTTAGCCATCTGTCACATCACCTGTTAACGTTAACTGTGACATACGTCATCTGCCAACTCAAACAGGGATATAAATTCCCCCGATTCCTCCCAATTTTCCATTTTATTGTTGTAACTGGTGAAACATCATATGTCCTGTCAGTTGAAGTTTTCGACTGTTTCCAGCACAGATGCTACGGAACTTTAAACGTGCATTCCAAAATTGACATGAGTGGACGGGGTTGAGTTGACAATTGTAGTATCAATATGGCTGCCGCTCGAGGTTAAAACTAACTGATTCTTTTAATCTGGGTAGAGTGCCCAAGAATATACTTTAAAATGACAGATATAAACAATTAGTATAATATAATTTACGGCTGTATATTTAGATTTAGTGAATTTTGTTTCAAAACTATAAAAAGTCAGCTCTTGGAAAACTATAATTTAAGCAAAAACTGTAAATTCAAACTGTATAGAAGATTGCTAGTTATTGCACATTTTACAGTAGCAGTTAATACTTTTTTCATAAACATCTATTTTATTATTGCTCTGTACTGTGTTTAAACTAATTCATGAACTGTTATTTTTGAATATTTCTTTTTATCTACACGCCATTGTTCTTTTATTGTTTTTATCACAAATAATTGTGATGAAGTGACACTTTTGGCCACGTGATTGCATCCCCTTACCGTTTCTACCTCCATGGTTTCACATATATACTTACAGTTGAGGTTATGTACAAATTTATATGATAGAAGCAAAATTAGTAATTTTGAGAAGCATATTTTAGCATTACAGTCCTGCTTCGATGATGTAAGCGCTATGAGATTCAGGACGAGTTATTAAAGGATTGTTTTCGACTATATATATAACGGCTTTGAAGTAAGAAATAAGAGGGATCAAAACTTTTGCTTCTTCTTTCATCACTAGCTGCATTAAGGTTTTAGTTGTTAGTCAAAATTGAAAAGTAGCTATTGTTTACTAACATTGCCTCAGTGTACAAATAAACTACGAGACTTTTTTTTCACGGAGCTTTTCATTGCATAAGTTATTAAAAAAACTTAAATCTTTCTAATAACAGGCGCATATTTTTAAATTATTAAAATTACTTTTAAGTATTTTTTACAAACTTGTATTCTATTTTAGCGCCTTCATTATATTCTTCATCCGATTCTATAAGAATAAAAAGCAAACCATTAATAAAAATTTAAATAAAATTTTAAGGGCAAAATATTATTTTATGGCCAGCCAATAGGTTATAATAGCCAGACTAAATTATTTAACAAAATAATAAAAACAAAAATATTACCGTTGAAATAAAAATATACATTTTTTATTCGAAATGCAAATCAACAGTATTTACTCAGAAAATTCCACACCTGTAATTTTGAACCAATCAAAATACGTGTTTTTGACAGATCACCATGGCAACGGAGGTATTTTAGTGGAAATTTTTTTCTCGTGGGGTACCCAACAGCGAATTATACTGGAAATTTTTTGACGTTTACAATAACAGACCATTTTTGACAGACTGGTTTTTATTTGTTCACATAATAGGTTTAGTTTTGATACATTTTAGTTACAATGCTAAGGTGTTTTCTATATTCTTCGGCCACTTCTTTTCTTCTTAATGGCGAAAATGCAGGACTTTGGATGCTTTGAATTATGTGTCTATGTCTAATAAAATATATATATAATATTTAGACACTAATTTATTCACCTTTTTCCCATTCAGCACTTTGAATTTTGCGTAGTTTAGGTGCAAATATTCGTGGACAATTCGGAACAAATTTTCGTTTTTCAAGTTGGAGCCACAATCCTCTATTAATCCGAGTAAGTAAGTCATGGTGCAATGATTGATCATTACATCAGACAATTTCACGCATATTTTGCATAGCGTATGATTTTCAAATCGATTCATTTTTAAACAAATAGGTAATTTTGTTGGTTTTACTTGCTGTGCAATATTCTTTATCGCAACAAAACGCGAGTTATTTAATGTTTTGAACTGTCAAAATACAATGATCACAGCCTCCTACGATTGATGCTTGCTGACGCTGGTTATGAATTTCATACCATTTTAAAGCGCTCATAACGCATGTTAATAAAAACGCAGAAAAACAATTTTCTACCACTTGCAGTTATTCAAAACTTACGTAAAATTAAAGAATATACTATTTTCTATTTTCAAATGGTATTCCCATGCAACTACAATGAGTATAAATAAGCAATTTGAAGGCCTAAATAATTGCAGCGCAACATTTTTTTACGTCGGGCCGCTTGACAACTTCAAAACTGAAATTATATTCGAGGTTAGGGTCTCACTTAGTTACCATGACAACTCAACAATCAAGGCGACAACACCTTTTATGTTTCACTGGTGACTTGGAGAAAATAATTTGCATTGTTGAGAAACGAAAAATAAATTTTAAAAATATTTAATTTTCAACCATAATTCGGCGTGGAATTTTCTTACCGAATACCACGCGAGGTCAAATTAATATCAGGAAATTTTTTCTCGCTCATGAATATTTTTAGAAAATTTTCATGAGCTCGAAAAAATTTCCGGAAATAATTTGACCTCTAGTGGTATTACTAGTGAAAATATAATCTAATAAAAAAAAGTAAGTTTTGACCATTGATTTTCGAACCGCGTGCTCACTGTGGTATACATAGCTGTGTATCAATACTGCTTTCATTAATACTGCTTTTATTCCTAATAAAATTCTGCTCATCTTAACATTAATTATCAGCACTTACCATACAATTTTCCAAGAACATTCACAACACCTTCCAAAGTAAAAACTGACCTGTTCCAAGGCATGATATTTGACGGCAATTATGACCCGAGTCACGGCAGCAAAAAATTAAACATATTCTTTTAGTTTCATAAACAAACCTCATCCGTCACAATTATTTAACAGAACTTATAATACTCTAGCGGGAAGTTAGCAAAAGCGATATTTCCATCCCGTGCAGGTTATAACTTCACTAATGCATCGTTGGAGAGAGAAACCGACTAGGAAGTTTCTACGTGATGTATGAGAATGGTAAATTAGTCCACCATTAGTGGACGGCTGCAACTATCCCGAACAATAAGATCTAACGCTGAATTAGTGAAATGCGTCTTAAAATATTAGCACCCTAGGTACAATTTGCGCTAATTCGGATTAGGCCAGGCGCTCTGGAACATTTTCAACAAAAACACTTTTTAAATTATTATGGACTAACACAGCAAAACTCTCATCGTTATTGGGTCAGATATCAATCAGACAACATGTGTTTATTGTATTAGATGTCAGTGGCTGTGGATTGTCACATTACCAATTTTAGAAAAATAAGCTAAATCGTAACTTTCCACTATTTAATTACAGTTCAGTGAAGACATGACTTACCATCTGAATAACTACCTGATCCAGCTTTTCTCTTTACATGCTCCTGTAGTAAGAAAAATAGTTATGAAACCGCATACTCCTTGGTACAAAAGGTACAATTAAAAAGTTTTTAAACTAAAAACTAAAGAAATTTTTAAAGATTTTGTGTTGAAATGAAATTTGACTTATCCCAGAAATATATGTGACAATTAATTACTAAGTAAGAAGTTTATTTCTAAACTAAAACTGAAATAAAAACTCACAGTCGAACAATTAAGAAGATCCTCTAATGGTGTATTTGAGGAAAAAGTCACTCTGCACCACGAAATCAGGATTTCTGTGTGGTTGACCTAAAAAAAATTAAAATCTGGTGAAAAACTTGTATAAAGCAGGTATTTATAGTACTTACGTAAAATGATTGATTATAAATATAGACAATTTGTATATTACAAATGATTGAAAAGTCATTATGTCTTTTGAGGTTAAAAAAGAACTTAATATCCGTATATAGTTTAGTTCAGGTAGTTTTTAAGAGTGATATTAGGTGGCGACACAAATAATTTATGTAAAAAAATTGGCCATATTCTATAGATGTCGCCAATATTAATTTGTAGGTTCCTACACAATTTTTTTGAATAGTTCGGCACCTGATAAATAGATGTCGTTACAGCCAATTAACTTAAAATTTAAAACGTCCATATTTGAATCAATTTAAAACTGTCAGCAAGATATTATTACCTAAGTTTTCTTTTTTACAGTTTTAAAAAGGATTCGACTAATTTCAAATTAATTTTAATTCTGTTTTCGATTTATTTATTTATTTATTTGTATCCTTGTTATAATAAAAAATATATGAAAATAAGTCAAACTTCTATTCAATGTCAGAGGTTTCTTTTGTATCATTAATACTAAGGGAAGAAAATAAAAATTCTAATATAGTCCAGTGATAAAAGTAATTTTTTTTCTAATAGTAATGAACAAGCTTAATTTTCTAAATTAATTTATTGATAAACAATGAAACAATAAATTCATATGATTAATATAATTAAATGTTCACTCTAAACCGGCACTAAGAGTAGAGTCATCTATATTCTGTTAAATTACTTAACAGACTAGCCGGAGCAACAACCTAGATAAAAAAAAGTAAGTATAATTGATCATACGAGGATGTATCAGAAAATAACCAGACTGGTGCTATAGTATAACAACGAAACATTTATTTAAAAAAATTCAACAACTATCCTTCGAAGTACTCTCCATTCTGTTTAATACACTTATTCCATCGCTTTATCCACTTATCATAAACTTCTGAGAAACCATTTTTTGATAGTCTGTTTAGTATACCCATCACAGCGTTGTTGAGCTCTAAATCCGACTCAAATCTTCTACCTCTCAATTCTTTTTTGACTTCAGGAAACAAATGGAAGTCACATGGAGCAAGGTCAGGAGAGTAGGGGGGATGAACCATAATTTCAACCCCTAATTCTTCAATTGTTCGTTGACAAATCATTGATCTATGAGCCGGAGCATTGTCGTGATGCAGCGTCCAGCCAAAGTCCTGATAAAGCGGCCTTTTTTTCTTTAATTTTGCCTTTAAGGGTCCTCGAAGTACATTAGAATAGTACTCCCCTGTTACTGTATGTCCTCTAGGTACAATGTGATCGTAAATAACGCCAAATTTATCAAAAAAAATCAGGTGCATCACTTTACCAGCGCTTTTAGCAGTTTTGGCCTTCTGCGGTCTTTATGCTTTTATGCTTCCATTGCATACTTTGAGACTTCAATTCAGGATCGTAATGATAAAACCAACTTTCGTCACATGTAACCACATTATTTAAAAACTGTGGGTTACGTTACAATTTAGACCAGGGCCGAAGCCTTCAAAAATGGTAAAAAATGAAAAAAAATTACAGTAGGATGAAACCCATTAGAAAAGCAGGGAATATGATCAAAATGAAAGGAAAAATAAATTTCGGTCGATTCGAGTTCGGGAAGTGGGAGGGGGTGAGTTTTTAAGGGTGAAAAATTGTTTATCTTGATTTCCGGCAAAACTACAAGTCCTATGGAAAAAAGTTAAATGGCAAAGTTGTAGGTCATAAAAAGATCTACAACTTTTGTATTTGCAATTTTTTCACATAACCTCAAAATTTAGGTGAAAAATTCAAAAAACCAAGTTTTTTATTTATATCTTTTTCAAAAAAAATTTTTTTTCTACGAAATTTGGTGAAAACTTACCTTATTATGTCCCAAATATACTGTAATTTAGTTGATTAAAAATATTAATTTTTTCACCTAATTTTAACATAATATCAAAAAAGCACCCTAATTTTCAATCGAAAATTCTGACGTCAAAATTTCAGCTTTTTTCAAAAAGTTTGGGGGCTTTTTGTTCGTTGAAATATCTACTTTCTGATGGTGTAAAAAAAATATACATTACTATAGGAAATATTATTAGAAAATGCAAAAAATTGAAAAAACCTCAAATTCGAAATTTTTTTTTTAATCACTATGTACAATTTTGAGGTATTTATTAAAATTTACACTTTAATTACTCAAAAAACGTAAGATTTCATGTTTTGTTGATAAACGAAAAAATTGCAAATTAAAATATACTTCTATAATTAACAAAGAAATAAGTTAATATTTAATAAGACATCTACAATATTTTGAAAAAGTTGTAGAATCTTCTTTAAATAATATTTGTAGATGCCTATTTATTGCTGTTTTAAGATAATTTATATACCTGAGTGACCTTCGGTGAATTTTAGCACATTGTAAGTTATTTCATTGAGAAGTGGGGACGGACCTAGGAGGGTCTGGATTTGCCGGAAAAGGAAAGAAAAGTATCGTTAATTCTATATTAGATGCGAAAAATTTGTCAAATTTGGCCAATGTTTTTTACAAAAAAGATGAAAGTAAAGAAAATATAAAAAAAAATGAATTACAATTAATTAAATCTATTTATAAATGTAAAAAAGAAAAATTAACACTGAATCAATTAAGGATTCAAAAATATCAATTGGCAAAAATTAAATCATCCTTCATTTTGGCAAACCTCCCACCCACAGAAGGAGCAGCAGAACAACATTGTTACAGAGCATATTATCAGCTTCAAACTTGGTTGGGTAACGAATTGACAGCAACAGATTGGGACTGGAAGCAACATCAGCGTGGCATTATGCCCAAATTTACAGAAAAGGATTTAATTCCGGAAGTATTGCTCAAAACTATTTGCTGCAGCTGTGAAACTGGATGTAACAGTTTAAAATGTGGCTGCCGAAAACATGGTTTAAAATGCACAAATTTATGCACTAATTGTCATGGTTCTGAAAATTGCTCCAATATGGAAGAAAAAATCTACGAGGAAGTAAATGATTCAGATGAAATTGTGGATGAAGAACCAATGCAGACTGGAAATAATATTGGAGACGAAGATGATGGTCTTGAAGATTTCGACGATCAACTAGAGTTGGAAAGATTTGTCGAATCTGACGATGAAGAAATGCCTCCAAAGAGACAAAAACTAATGAATAACTGATTAGAATTTCAGATAAGGTATTTATAAATAACAAGATTAACGTTTTTTAAAAAAAATTTAACGAATAACGTAATCAGAATTAAGTTTCTAAATTCAATAGTACGATTTACATGTATAATTATTTTGTATGAGATTTTCTATGACATGAATGTAATTCGAGTAAAATAAATAAACTTTTTAACTAAAAAAAAATTGCAGCAATCACATTTTTTTGATGAAATTGTACATAGTAATTAAAAAATTTTTCGATATTGAGGTGTTTTCAATTTTTTGCATTTTCTAATAATATTTCCTATAGTAATGTATATTTTTTACACCATCAGAAAGTAGATATTTTAACGAACAAAAAGCCCCCAAACTTTTTGAAAAAAGCTGAAATTTTGACGTCAGAATTTTCGATTGAAAATTAGGGTGCTTTTTTGATATTATGTTAAAATGAGGCGAAAAAATAAATATTTTTAATCAAATAAATTACAGTATATTTGGGACATAATAAGGTAAGTTTTCACCAAATTTCGTAGAAAAAAAATTTTTTTTGAAAAAGATATAAATAAAAAACCAAAAACTTGGTTTTTTGAATTTTATGTGAAAAGGTTATGTGAAAAAATTGCAAATACAAAAGTTGTAGATCTTTTTATGACCTACAACTTTGCCATTTAACTTTTTTCCATAGGACTTGTAGTTTTGCCGGAAATCAAGATAAACAATTTTTCACCTTTAAAAACTCACCCCCTCCCACTTCCCGAACTCGGATCGACCGTAATTTATTTTTCCTTTCATTTTGATCATATTCCCCTGCTTTTCTAATGGGTTTCATCCTACTGTAATTTTTTTTGGTTTCAAAAATTATCGACCCTGGTCTAATTGCCTTTTCCACTGCTGAAAAATTGTCGTCACTCGATTCGCTTTTCGTTCATCGGTCATCACTTTTGGAATCCATCTTGCCGCGATCTTCCGGTACTCTAAATCTTCATGAATAATTTTTTGAGTGGTTCCGTAAGACAAATTAACATTGTCAGAAATTCGTTTTATGCCAATCCGGCGATCATTTTGTATCAAGTCGTTAATTTCTGCAATTTTTGTGTCATTTCTCGCAGTTTGTGGTCGACCGGGACGAGGTTCATCTTCAACTGATTCACAACCGTCTTTAAACTTTTTATGCCACTCAAACACTCTACATCGTGATAAACTATTATCTAGATATGCACCTTTAATCATTTCAAAAGTTTCAGTTGGTGTTTTACCCAATCGAACACAAAATTTTATCGCGTATCTTTGCTCCACTTTCATTTTTCGATGGGTACGCAAAACACTGACAATTCAATAATTAATTTGTAACAAATGTCAAAAGTTAAATCAAAGCCTACTTGCGGGGTAGTACATTAAATATAAGGCTTTCATGTCTCATTTTTTGGATTATAAAATGTTACCTCTGAAAGAAGTTATAGCACCAGTCTAGTTATATACTGATATATCCTCGTACTAT